TTGTGCTCAGAATATCCTGGGTGGGAGAGGGGAAGGCCACTATCTTCCTGGGAAAACATTCTGCTAGGAAATTTCTTCTTGCCCCTCTGAGAAAGAGGAGTGAGGGTCTCACATTATGTATACTATACAGTGTTCTTCCTGTGTTCCTGCAGGCCAGAAGAGGGCACCAGATCTTATTACAGGTGGTTGTGAGTCACTATGTGGTTGCTCAGGACCTCAGGGAGAACAGTCAGTGCTCTTAACCACTGAGCCATCTCTCCAGCCCCTAAAATTTTTTTTAAAAATTAAAAAAAAAATGTAGCAGAGCCATGTGTAGTGTACATGCCTTTAGTCCTAGTACTCAGGAGCAGAGGCAGGTGGATCTCTGTAAATTCCGGGACAGCCTGGTTTACATAGTGAGTTCCAGGACAGCCTGAACTACATTACATAGTGAGACCCTGTCTTGAAGGAAAACGAAACACCCAGAATTGGAATAGTTGTAAAAATACCAGTTTCTATTTGTTGTAACCAAATTGCAAATCTGTTTGTCATTTTACACTTCTGGAGAGAAGTCCAAGGGCATTAGAAGTCAAGTGTCTATGGCTTGTTCCTCCTAGAGGCTCCAAAAGACAAATGCCTCTTTGTCCTTTCCACCCACTGACTCTGTCACTTCCTTAAGAGGATCCTCGTGAGTACACTGGACCCACTTGTGTTACTTTTCCCATATGGCATCCAGTAAAGCTGGTGGAAACACAGCATACCCAGCGAGCCCGTGCTCCCTCCTCCTCTCCCTTTTCATTCTCCCTCGGTGGAAGTGGGCTCGGTAGAAACCCCCATTTACATGCTAGCAGCAGGAAGAGAGGTGCTCTTCACAGTTTGTCCTGAGGGCCTGGTGAGGTGCTAGAAACACTTTGTACCTGGCAGATACATGACTTTCCTGGAGCCCCGGGACCCCAAGTTGGTAGCCCTGCCCTTTGTGAGTACGGAGTGCCCATGCAAAACCACGGCTCTCATCCTAAAGGGAATAAGAGATAGTTTATTCTTCAGTCATTTTATTAACCATGGCCTGGGAACACAGACTTAGGTTACTCCAAATTCGGTGGTCCAACATGGAAGCAGTTTCATGGAGTTTTGTAGTTTTACAGGACAAAGTCATAAATCAAGGGAAGTTTAAATGACACTGGCAGGTGCAGCAGATAGGTGGTTTCAGCAAGATGGAAGAAGCTTTCTATAGGCCCAAGATGGAGGAAGCTTTCTATAGGTCCAAGATGGAGGAAGCTTTCTATAGGCCCAAGATGCTATCTGATGACATGCCTAGCTTTTGGGCTAGTGGAGGCCATTGGTCTGCTAAATTGATAGGTTCTAGAAGGTTTCTATTAGTCACAGGATGTTAATTCCAGCACAGAGATGGGCAAGGAAGGGCTGTCTGGGAGGGCTAGAACTAGCCCAAGATAAGGTAATTAGACTCTGGAACTGCACCATTCCAGTCTCCCCACAGCACTGAAACTCTGTTCAGTCTCTGTAGATACAGCTTCTTATCAGGAACTCTTCACATAGGCAACAAGAATGGACTGACCTGACCAAAGCTTCCCTTCTAGTTGGCAGCCTTTACCTTCCCCTCATTCACAGTTGCTGGTGTCTTGAGTTCTCGTGGCTCCTGAAGCCCAGAAGATTAAGCTAGGTCTATAGCGACCACTGTGCAGGATATTAGGAAGCTGATTTCCAGTCTACCTTCTTGCCTGCCCCATTTGTCTCCCTCTCCCTCTTCAGGGCCCCCTGTACCAGGTTTTTTGGGAAGACAATCCCTAACTTCCCATGCTACTATGCTGGAGTCTCCTTTTCTTATGTTACTTAAACCCGAGGAAGGCTGGTGTAATGGATTAAGTCAAATGCTGCGGATCCCCAAGTGGCTGCAGCGGGCCACGAGTCCCAGGCAGGGAGCCACCTGGCGGGCTAGAGACAGAGATATGGATAGGCATGCCATGCAGAGTGAGGTCGGATATTTATTTAGTGGGTTATGGAGGGGAAAGGGGAAGAACAGAGAGACAGAGACAGAAAGGAGGGGAAGGGGAAAAGTGGGGAGAAGGGAGAGCTTCAGAAGCTGCCTCCTTGAGGGAGATGGAAAAGGAAGAGACTTGGGCTGCAGGCAAGCAGGAAGATCTGCCTGCCTAGGTGATGGATGGGGGAGGGGTGGGCGGGGCTTGTCTCTTAAAGGGACAGGACAGATCATTACATTCCCATCTCTCTCTCTCTCTCTTTTTTTTTTTAATAATAAAAAGGCAGGAGGTTAGGCACAACAGGTTAAAGGAATTGGGGCCGCAGATTCTCAAGACTGCTTCCTGCTTATTTGTGGGCATGGTCTTTGCAGGGGAACCTGAGAAAGCTGGGTGCTAGTCACATCTTGGCATAGCTGGTTTCTTTGCTCCTGTCTGGTGTTTGTGGTATGGGAATGTCTGGTGTCTCTTACACGTGTTTAAGGTATTGGCAGAACAGAGGACAAAATTAAGTTTAGGAAAAAAAAATGTTTTAGGACCAGGGAATTGAGAGGGGTGTATCTGACCTGTTTAAGGTGGATCCTTTAATTCAACTCCCTGGAACTCACAAGAATTCTTTGGGCTTATGAAAACATAAGTTTTAAATAGCAGCATATTTATATTAGAATAACTGTGACCGATGTTTTTGTACAATGAAAAGTATTTTTAAAACTATGGAAGGCAGCGTGAGGGAGAATTTTGTTAACTTGTATTTGTCCTCACACCTTTATAACTTGCAGGTACACACCTTAATAACTTGTATTTGTGTTTTGCTGAAATTTGTATGATGAGGTTGTCCTTTTAAACTGACAAAACCTCTCAGGTGTCAAACTGCATCAGAGATTTTTGAGAAGAATAAAATTTTACTTGAGTTACTGATTAAAAAATGACAGAGAAGTTACTTGGTTGGCACCTAGAGCTACTCCTCAGGGTCCTCCACGGTCGCTGAAGGTCGTATTTGCCTTTTGCTGTTTAGCATAGGGCCTGCCAGGCTCCAGAAGATCCTGTGGGCTAAGAAATCTGTAGGAAGACAGGCCTACCTTGACCTGAGCAGCTAGGCTGTCAATTCCAGTGATTCTGTCCAGTCTGGAGATCTTCAGTTTAGATGAAAGGCAGTTTTTCCCAGTGGTCAGCGCTTGACAGTTGAAGCAAATTGTGGATGGACATTGTTCTGTGCCCATTTGTCTTCTGCCTTCTTTGGAGGATATAGAGTGCTGCTGCTAGGAGCCAACCTGTCTCTTTTTGTTATGAAAAGTTTTTTTTAATAATTAAATATTTAAATTCCATATTCCCCAGATCTCTGAGCAGTTGAGGGCTGTTATCAGGTGTAACTACAGTATAGAATCTGGCTGGAGAGCTGGGTCTGAGTTTGACTGTACTGGCTCTTAACTTAACAGGTAAGATTTACACTCATAAAAAGATAGAAGAAAAAAGTGCTTGCAATAGAAGGTTAATGGCAGAATTGACAATAGCAGAGAACATCTTAATATATTTTAAATGAGGTTTGGATTAAATATAAAGTATTTTTGTAAGATACTCAAAAGTACATTCCAGTTTAGCCGGGAGGTGGTGGCGCATGCCTTTAATCCCAGCACTCGGGAGGCAGAAGCAGGTGGATCTCTGTGAGTTTGAGGCCAGCCTGGTCTACAAGAGCTAGTTCCAGGACTGGCTCCAAAGCTGCAGAGAAATCCTGTCTCGAAAAATCAAAAAAAAAAAAAAAAGTACATAACAGTTTAAAACATGAGACTTATTGCTTTGTCGTCTGGAATGAGATACAATGAACAATTATAACATTTAACAGCAGACATAGGTGCATTTAAGTTACATGTATGAACACACACACACACACAGTGAACAGGAATTGGGTGAAGTGGATGCTGTTGGTGGGCCCTACCATAGGCATGCCACTGCACAAAACACACATGCAGCAGAGTCAACAAGAGAAATTTAGAGACAAAAACATAAGTAAACCGGGACCAGGCAGGGAATACCTCAGTAAAGATGGCAGAACTTGGTGTCCCTGACCCGACTCTCAGTTAAGATGGCGGTGAAGTCACCTGACCTCAGTTAAGATGGCGGTAAAGTCACTCATGTAACAGAGTTAACACTGGGGAATTCCTCAGTAAAGATGGTGGAACTCCTGCCACACAGTAGGTGTGCAACAAATAGGTGGATGAATGCTGATTTCTTGACAAGTGTGGTTCTCTGTGCAGAACAGTGCTCTTGAGTGACATTCAAACTCTCTTTGCTGACCTTTTCCAAGCGCTAGAATTCCAGTTTAAGGCAGCAAATCTGCAAGTTCGAGGCCAGCTGCCCATCAAGGCCTGTTTCAAAAGGCAAAATTCTATAACTTGTTACAAAGTTTAAACATAGGCTGGAGAGATGGTTTAGCAGTTAAGAGCATTGACTGCTGCTTAACCCAGTTCAGTTCCCAGCACCTGAATGGTGACACACAGCCACCTCTAACTCCAATCCCAGGGAATCTGATACCCTCTTCTGGCTTCCCTAGGCACAATGCACAGACATATTCAAACGAAACGTTCATGATTAAACAGTGACAAAATCCTTGCTCTTTTGGAGTGTTGAGAGCTTCATGCATAAGAGACTCTCTGTTTACCACCCCCCAGCCACATCCCCGAGCCATAAAGGTTTTTTTTCTTTTCTTTTTTTTTTTTCTTTTTTGAGGGGGTCATGTTTTGAGACAGGGTCGTTTCCTGTGTGACAAAGCCCTGATTGTTCGGGACTCTCTCTGTAGACCAGGCTGGCCTTGAACCCACAGAGATCCGTCTTCCTTCTCGAGCGCTGAGATTAAAGGCGTGCACGCCACCACGCCCGGTTGGCTAATAGGAGACGCGGGTGTGTGCTGTTCGTCTCAAATCTCTCGTTGCAGCTGTGGATCATTTTACATATTTTTAGTCAGGCCCAAAAGAAGTGACTCAGGTTTGTTTAGTTCTGTTCCCAAAGTGCAGTTTGCATGTGGGCGGGGCAGACCTGGTGGGAGGTTTCCTGAAGGCAAAAAGTGAAAGTCGAGGGGCCAGAGAGTGAAGAACGGCCTGAGTCTCGAGGCCCCGCCCTGGGCGGAAGGAACGGAGCGGCTGGGACCTCTAGCAGCAGAGCCAGGTGAGCTAGGCCATGCTTCGGGGCGCCCTGCTGGCTCTGAGGGTTTTTCTCGAGTCTCCTCTTGGCTCTCTTAATACGTGGCAAAGCGTCTGGACCAGAAGGTTCGAGGGACCAAAAATAGGGCGAGGGCGGGATCGCTGGCCCAGCGAGCCTCTGAGGCCTTTTCCTTCCTAGGGTGGCACAAATGTGCCCTAGGGTCGCCTTTCTTTCTGCTTGAAGGCTGAGCTCATGTCTTCGTCTGCCAGCGGCCTCTTGGTTTACTTAAAGACCCAAAGCGGGCTGTCTATCCCAGAATTAACCAAACCGGGCTACAGCTAGGAGGCGCTAACTAGCAACCCCCACCCCCGTCGCAGTTAAGCTGAGGTCTGAATAGTGCCTGTAAACCAGCCTTGTAGGGCCTCCAGCCTGGTCACCTGTGTTCCTTCCGATTTCTTACGCGCCGGAGGATCAAAGGTCCAGAGAAACCAAGGGCCTGGTCCCAAGGCCAAGCAAGGGGAGGAGCGTGGGAGGATAGCCAGCTGCCTGGTTACTTTCACATCCCTTGTCCCTGACCTCAGATGATCACAGAACTGGCTGACACCCTGCCTCAAAGCCCAGCCCTGTGCTTTCCCTAAAGGTAGACACTCCATGTCCTGGTCTGTAGTGCAGAAGAGGACAAGCCTTGTGGGCCAGGGCTGCTGAGAGAGAGGTCCTAGAGCAGCCCCACCCCACCTTCAGTTCCCCAGCAACAGCTGTTTGGATGACGCACCCTGGGATCCAGTCGTTGCTGGTTTTAGTCACTGGCTCTTTGTGGGTGGGGATCATTGGTTGCTCCATGCCGTGGCTGTTATGACCACAGTGAGTTATCTACTCCCTTGCATCAGTTTCCCCACCACTAACCCTTGTGTCAAGATGTGCAAAGTGAATCTTCTCCCTGGTTGGCGTTAAGGGGTTATTCTCCCAGCTCTGGGAAGGCCCCCTTTAGCAAGGCAGGGGCCTTGGCACTGTAACCTCACATAGAATTGTGGTCATTGTCGTGACCATCCTAGAGGGCAGCTGTTGTATTTCTGTTGCTCTTAAACAGAACCCAGTACCCCTCTCCCATCTCTGTAATAGCAGCAGAGCACAGATCACTTCTTCCAAGAAGTCCTCCAGGACCCCCACATGCTGTCCAAACTGGCCTGCTTGACAGGCTCAGGAGATAGGGGGCCATGGGTGCCTGTACCCCAGTGCCAGCCTTGTTTATTCAGGTTCTGTGCCCATCCCTGTCAGAGCCTGTGACCTATTGTTCCAGCTTTCCTGGATATAGATCTCATTTTTCTCAGCCTGATGGACAGCCTGGATCCTTTGTGGGCTGGGCCTGTCCTGGCTGAGCTCCTAGCCTCAGAAGTAAGCCATGAAAGAGCCCAGAGTCCTGTGCCTTCCCACCCTTCAGGTAGTTGCTTATGCCCAGGATCCTGGCGCCCTGGCATGACTTGGCAAGAGTAGTGTGGTGCTGCTTGCCACCCAGCTTGTTCTCGGGACATGGGCTGAGGGAGCAGGAAGCCCCCGCGCCCCCCCCTCCGCTGGGGTTCCAGACACAGCTATGCTCAGGCACATAAGAGGCAGGAGGGTTTCAGGCCAGACTCAGTGCCCGGTGCTGTCTTCAGCGAGGTGGTGCTCGGGTGGCTGGGCTCCTTCCGACTGCCTCAGTGCTGGCCCTTATGTTCTGCTGCTCTTAGTGGTATTTGCTGGGGTACGTGTAAGTGGCCTCCTTTCCTGACACCTTATTTCTGGAGACACTTGCTGGGGAGACCACTGAAAAGAAAATGTACTCTTTTGGCTTTTGGATTCTTTCTGTTACAAATTCTATCCTGTCAAGCTATGGAAATTTCAAGAGTTCTCTTTCTTCTTCTGCCCAGATCACACTGTGCAACCACCATGAGTCTTGACATCCAGTGTGAACAGCTGAGTGATGCCAGATGGACAGAGGTCCTTCCCCTGATCCAGCAATACCAAGTGGTCAGGTAGAGGCAGCCTTGGGGGCCTTGTGGGTACCATCGGGTCTGGCTGGGAGGGCAGTACTCTGTTGTGGAGGTGGGTGGTTCTTGCAGCTTGGTGACCACCCGACAAGGGTTTGCTGTGTTCCAAAAGGATGCTATTATTCATGGACACGAAAATGTCTTGCATAATCTTCATGAGGTGTTACTTCAACCTTTTTGTGTATTGTGAGGCAGGGTCTCACTCTGTAGCCCATATTGGGCTCTGGGGACATGACTCATAGTTGAGTACTTGCCTAACATGCCCAGGGCCTTGGGTTCAGTTGATTTCCCAAAATATAAATGAGCTTGATGGTACAAGCCTGTTTTCCCAGCACTGGGGAAGGGGAAGCAGGAGGGCCAGAAGCCCAACAGCATTTTCTGCTTCATAGTGAGTGTAAGCTAGCCTGAGATACAGGGGCCTGAAAACAGCTGGCAGCCAGGCACGGAGCATGTATGAGAAGCATATGTGAACCACTGCAGGCTCATGTGGAGCGGGCAGGCTTGGTGTGGAGACAGATGGCAATGGCAGGTGGTGGACACCTCAAGCCTAGCAGTGTGGACCCTTATGATTCAGCTTTTCCTTCTAGTCTAGACAGACTAGGTGGCGGTGCCTGTCCACACCTGTCCCTGTCTGTCCATCTCTGACTGAGAAAGGGAGTGGTACCAGTTCCCAGGAAGAGATAGGCACCTGCTTCATCCTCATTTTCCCCGAGATAGTTTTAGGTTTGCCACAGAATCCAAAAGTCATTTAGGCATCCCCAGCCCTCCGTCAGCTTCCGTGTCCATGTCCCAAGACTCACCTGCCGCCTACAACTGTAGTCAGATATGGTCCTGCCCAGCTTTGCCCTGTGACTTTCCCCACTCTCAGTTGCTTAGGATCCCATGTGACTTTGAGCATCTCCTTAGCCTTTTCTGTAGGGTTCCACTTCCTCTTGTCCTAGTGCCCTGACTTTTGAGTCTAGATAGCCTGCACATGTTCCCTTGGCTAGTCTGAGGGCTTTTCATGGTTGTCATGTGCTTTTGAAGAGTGTGGAGAAACTATAGGTGTGGCCTCTCACAGTGTGGACATAACTGAGTCATAACTTGCTATGGTTCATCATGTACTCATGCTGCTGGAGCTCTGACCAGGTCTGAGTTCCTCTGCCTGCTATCAACATCCCTTTCTACTGTCTCCCCACCCCCATTCTCAGTGCTGGGACTTTGTGCAAGCTAGGCAGGCAGCTCTAGTGCTTGCTTTCTGAGAAAGTTTTCTAGCCCAGACTGAGCTGGGGCTTGGTATCCACCTGCCACCACATATGCCTGTTTCAAGTTTAAACATTATAGCTATTATCCATATTTGGATTTCTTGGCTCCTGGTGGGTTGTGTGAGATGGTGGTCGAATCTGAGACCAGCGCCATGCTGACCCAGAGGTCCTGTCTGCAGGCTGGATGACTGTGGTGTCACTGAGGTGCGATGCAAAGACATCAGCTCAGCGGTCCAGGCCAACCCTACCTTAACAGAGCTCAGCCTATGCACCAATGAGCTAGGAGACGCTGGTGTGTGCCTGGTGCTCCAGGGCCTGCGGAATCCCACCTGTAAGATCCAGAAGCTGAGGTAAGTCCAGGGGCTCAGCCCAGCCTGTTTAGGGCACCTAAAGTAGGCAGCCGTGATGTAGAAAGCCACCAAGAGGGGGGTGAGGTAGGAAGGGGCAGGCTGTGGTAATAGGCACTCCCAGCTTCATCCAGAACACAGGTGATGTGTGCAGTACTGGGACATGCCACACTGTGGCTCTGTTCCGGGTCTCATCCCCAAGAACATCTGGCTGAGCCACACTGGTGTCCTCCTTTGGCCTGGAGCCCCATCTAGAGGGAAAGTAGTGTCCTAACCCTGTGAGGTGTCTTGGGAGCTCTGGCATGGGCTGGGTCTGTTCCTGACTGCTGCTGATGGTGTGTGCTTCAGCCTTCAGAACTGCAGCTTGACGGAGGCTGGCTGTCGGGCCCTGCCTGACGTGCTGCGGTCTTTGCCTACCCTGCGTGAACTACATCTCAGTGATAACCCTTTGGGGGATGCAGGCCTGAAGCTGCTCTGTGAAGGACTTCTGGACCCCCAGTGCCGCCTTGAGAAGCTTCAGTGAGTATATATCTTGCCAGGATCCCCAAGCTCTTTGCTGCCCCTGACCCAGAGACTAGCCAGCCAGCTGTCCTCAGTAAGCCTCGCTGCAGTACAGGAATAAGAACTTTGGAGGGGCCAGGCGATGGTGGCGCACGCCTTTAATCCCAGCATTCTGGAGGCAGAGGCAGGTGGATCTCTGTGAATTTGAGGCCAGCCTGGTCTACAGAGAGTTCCAGGACAGGCACCAAAGCTACAGAGAAACCCTGTCTTGAAACAAACACCGGGCAGTGGTGGCGCACACCTTTAATCCCAGCACTCTGGGGGAGGCAGAGGCAGGTGGATCTCTGTGAGTTCGAGGCCAGCCTGGTCTACAAGAGCTAGTTCCAGGACAGACTCCAAAGCTACAGAGAAACCCTGTCTCAAAAAAAAACCAAAACCAAACAAAGAACTTTGGAGGGAACTCCTAGGATTTGCTAGGGACTGGCAGACCTAGCCTCTCAGAGTGGGAACTGGTACTGGTGGAGTCTGGTTTGATTCTGTAGTGTGACCTCAGATGAGCTGAAGTTACTTTCAGGTAGGAACTTGTTTCTTTCTGCTGATTCTGGGAGACCCTCAGGATTTGAGGTGGGGCTCTTTTCAGGAAAGGTTTCCTAAGCGATGTTGGGATCCACATGAGCCTGCTCAGACAAAGCTTAAGGAGTCAATGGAAGATGAGATACCAGGAATCCCTTATGTTCCTGATACAATCTAGGCCCATCCTTAATCCTTTTGATTTGCCTGAGACCGTCTCCCCGCAGGTTGGAATACTGTAACCTCACAGCTACCAGCTGTGAGCCCCTGGCTTCAGTGCTCAGGGTGAAACCCGACTTTAAGGAGCTAGTGTTGAGCAACAATGACCTCCATGAGGCTGGTGTCCAGATGCTGTGCAAGGGCTTGAAGGACTCTGCCTGTCAACTGGAGTCACTCAAGTATGTACCAGGCCACAGAGGCTGAGGGGTAGGAGCAGGCACCAGGGCTCCTCTTACTATGTCCTATGTCCCCAGGCTGGAGAACTGTGGTGTCACATCAGCCAACTGCAGGGATCTGTGTGATGTCCTGGCCTCCAAAGCCTCACTGCTGCACCTGGACCTGGGCAGCAACAAGCTCGGTAATGCAGGCATCGCAGCGCTGTGCTCGGGACTGCTGCTCCCCAGCTGTAGGCTCAAGACTCTGTGGTGAGTCAGCTCCCAGCCTCTTTCCGTGGGGATGGAGGACATGGAGGTGAGTGAGGGACATCCTTCAAGAATGTTGGTGTCCCACAGGCTGTGGGAGTGTGACATCACTGCAGAGGGCTGCAAGGACCTGTGCCGTGTCCTCAGGGCCAAGCAGAGCCTGAAGGAACTCAGCCTCGCTGGCAACGAGCTGAGGGATGAAGGTGCCCAGCTGTTGTGCGAGAGCCTGCTGGAGCCTGGCTGTCAGCTGGAGTCACTGTGGTGAGGGGGGCCTGAGCAGAAAGCTAGGGTGGAGTGATGGCTGCTGGGAGCTGCTGTTGGACTCTGGAAGTTGGGATGGCAGGAAGAGGCCAGTGCTGGCTGGGGTGGTGGTATACAGAGAATGAGGGGTGGAAAAGGGAGTGGGTGAGCCCCCTGGGTTCCTTCCGGACTCCAAGGGAAGGGTTAGTTGGAGCTACTGGCTCCAGCCTTGCTGTTCCTACAGGATAAAGACCTGTAGCCTCACAGCTGCCTGCTGTTCCCACATCTGCTCGGTGTTGACCAAGAATCGTTCTCTGCTGGAGCTGCAAATGAGCAGCAACCCACTGGGGGACCCGGGAGTCCTGGAGCTTTGCAAGGCCCTGGGCCAGCCAGACACTGTGCTGCGTGTGCTCTGGTGAGTGTGCGGGGGTGGGGTGGGGCGAGGAATGTGCTGGGAGGTAGGGACAGTTTCAAGTCTGGCTACCTTCCTCCTGTGAGGAACCATAGTTAGGGATGTCCTAAGGTTTCCCCCATCCCATCCCCCTCTGGATAGTGTCTGTGTATCCCAGGTACTATGTAGACCAGACTGGCCTAAAACTCACAGAGATCTGCCTGCTGAGTGTTGTAGATAAGGCATGCATCAAACCTGGATCCTTAGTCACATTCTAGCAGCTTCCAAGAATACTAGAAACTCATCTACAGAACCTTGTGTATCCTGGTCATTGAGCTAGATGTGGAATCTGAGCCACTCATTTCTTTCCCAGGGAGGTCTCTGCTACCCCAAATCTCCTATATGTCTGCTTATTCTCTTTGGCAGGTTTTTGTTATTTTACATTTCTGTTTGTGTGTGTGTGCATGTGAAGATCAGAAGATAATGCAGGAGCTGGTTCTTCTACCATGGGGTTCTCATTTCTAGACATTTCCCATTGTCTGGCCAGTTCAGAGTCTCATTTACCATTTATATCAGCTTTGCCCTCTGTGGTGCTGCACCTTGACTGCTGGTCATTTTGAAGGGTGGACAAGGACACTATACGTGTGCCACAGTTGTGGGACACTCTAAGGGAAAGGAGGTCAGGAGATGTGGAGCCTGCTACAGTCACTTAGATGGGTCCTGTAGATTTCAGACCCACCTTGGAGAGGCAAACCATAGCAGCTTTTTAATGTCACCTGCCCTACTTGTACCTCGAACTCCCCAGTACCTCTGGCTTCCTCAGGTCCCATCTGATGGGCATGAGTAATGGCCCTGTTCACTTGTTCTTCCCAATCTTCCCCCATCTGGAACCTATCTGCCCTGTCACTTTCTATAGGCACCTGATATGCAGGGCTCTGATCTAGCCAGGCTCTTGGTGCTCTGCAGCAGTGCACACTGCCCCTGCCAGGGGGAGCTAGGGCTCTCACTGTTGTATCCAGCTGAGGGAAGCATAGCTGCAGTTGAAACACCAAGGGGCTGGCTGCCTTCCTGCCAAAGCCCAGCAGTGGAGAACAACTCTGCCCTCTCCACCCAGGCTGGGGGACTGTGATGTGACGGACAATGCCTGCAGCAGCCTTGCTGCAGTTCTGCTGGCTAACCGCAGCCTGCAGGAGCTGGACCTCAGCAACAACTGCATGGGGGACTTGGGTGTCCTGCAACTGATGGAAAGCCTCAAACAGCCCAGCTGTACCCTTCAGCAGCTAGTGTAAGTGAATGTTCTTGGTGAAGGTGGTGGGACACGGGCTGCCTGACCTCAAGGGATTCATTCCAACTCACTCCTGCCTTGCCCGTGCACAGCCTGTATGACATTTACTGGACGGAGGAGGTGGAAGACCAGCTGCGGGCCCTGGAGGAGGAAAGGCCATCCTTGAGGATCATCTCCTGAGATGTGCATGTCTCTGGACACACGACATTAATCCAGCCCAGGGCCAGCCAGCAGGAACTCTGGCTCTGGGTGTTCTAGCATTGTAATCTTATTTTAGCAGAAAACGTTAGACACTTTATAACTATTAAAACACTTTGTTGACAAGGAAGGTCCTTGTCGTTCTTTGTGAGCTGGTGTAGCTGTGCTATGGGACCCATGATGCTATGACTGCTTCCTATGTGTGGGGTAGTTTATTCATATGCTCACCCCAACAGTGGGCCTTTAATCTCCAATATGGCCTTTCTTAAAAAAACCTGGACAGCTTCGAACCTTGGGCATACTCTACTGTCTCCGTGCTGGGACTACAGGCATTGTAGAAGGGATTCCAGATGTACGCCATTACACTTTGTTCCAAGGCAGGTCTTAAAGGGACTTTCAAAGCTGAATCTTCTCCCTGCCTATACTGAGTAGTATGAGTGAGGATGATCTCTGCTTGCAATGATCAAGCATGACTTAGGAAGATTCATTTCCCATACCTGAAATCCCAGAGACTGGGTAAGACTCAATGGTGGAGCTCTTCCTAATACAAAAAGGGTTGAAAACAAATCCCAAGAGATCAAAATCTCTGAAGTCTAAAATCTCCAAATTATAAAAGGTAAATCTTCAAAGTGAAATTGCCAAAGTAATTTTCATGACTAAACGTGCTTAATGAGAAAAGGGTGGCTGGTCAAATTCTAGAGAAGAGACTGGCTATATAAAAGCTAGGGAGTTTTATTTTTATTTATCTATTTACTTACTTATTTTGATGTTTTGAGACAGGGTTTCTCTGTGTCCTAGAACTCAGGAGATCTGCCTGCCTCTATCTCCCGAGCATCACCAGCATTGGCTATTTCTAAGATGTTTATTTTAGGCAGCATGGCTGATAGCTGTGCACTGCCAGTGCATGCTGAGCACCAAACCCAGGTCTTCTGCAGGAGCAGCTAGTGCTCTTAACCACCAGTCACCTCTGAAGGATTTCTGAGACAGGGTCTCATACTGTAGCTCTGCCTTACCCGAACTTGTTATATATACCAGGCTGGCCTCACATTCCCAGATATTTGCTTGCCTCTGCCTTCCCAATACTGGGATTAAAAGTGTGCACTAGCATACCTAGCTTCCTGACTTATTTTTAAAATTACACTTTTAAATTTTTTTCTTTTTTTTGTTTCTTTTTTCTAGACAGGGTTTCTCTGTATAGCCCTGGCTGTCCTGGAACTCACAAAGTGAGACCAGGCTGGTCTTAAACTCAGAGATCTTCCTGCCTGTGCCTTGTGAGTACTAGGATTAAAGGTGTGCACCACAACCCCACTAAAATTTACTTTTATTGGGGCTGCAGAGATAGCTCTGTGGTTAAGAGCACTGGCTGTTCTTCCAGACAATCTGGGTTCAATTTTCAGCACCTACATGGCAGCTCACAACTGTAACTTCTGTTCCAGGGGATCCAACACCATCACACAGACATACATGCAAGCAAAACATCAATGTACATAAAATACAAATAAATTACTTAAAAAATTATTTTTACTTTATTTTTGTTTTTGTTTTTTTTTAAAAAAGGTTCTTACTACGTATTAGCTGACTTCAAACTTGCTAAATAGAACAGGCTGGCCTTGAATTCACAGAGATATGTGTGCTTTTGCCTCCCAAGTACAGGGATTAAAAGCGTGTCTCCATGTGGCAAATTTATTTTTATTTTATGTATATGGATGTTTTGCCAGTACGTATGTCTGCACCATGTGCATGCCTGAGGAAGCTAGAAGAGAGTGATACTCTGGAACTGAGTTCTAACCATGTGGGTGCTGGGACTAGACCTGGGTCCTCTGCAAATGCTCGTAACTGTTCAGTCATTTCTCCAGCCCTCAAATTACATTTTTTTTTTTATAAAAAAGATAGGTTCTCTATGTTTTCCCTGGTTGGCCTCTGAAGAGATCAACCCCCTTCTGCATCCTGAATGTGCTGCCATGCCCAGCTAAAATTGTATTTACTTGTATATGTGTACCAGTGGCAAATGTGTGCAACCCAAGAGCTAACATCAAGAATATCAATTAAGAAGCAGGGTCTCCCACTGTAACCCAGACTGGCCCTGAAGTTATAGCAGTTCTGCCTAAATTGCCTGAAGTGCTAGGATCATAGGCATGAACCACCATGTCCACTAACTTTTGCCATTTTAATCAGAATTTATAAATAACCCGATTAAAAATGAGCAATACATCTAAGCAGACATAGCTTTAAAAAATCCAGGAAAGAAAAATGTCCATTATAATTGGTCACCTGGGAAATGCAAATCAAAACCAGTAAGATGCCTGGCAGTGGTGGCACATATCTTTAATTCCAACACTTGGGAGGCAGAGGCAGGTAGGATCTCTTGAGTTCCAGGTCAGCCTGGTCTACAGAGTGAGTTCCAGGACAGCCAGGGCTACAGAGAAACCCTGTCTCAAACAAACCAAAAAGCAAACACACACACAACCAACCAGTAAGATGTCACCTTACCTTGTTGAAAGCAGCTGTTATGGCAATGAGAGACAAGTGCATGGTGCTGGAGAGATGGCTCTGAGATTAAGAGCACCTGTTGCTCTCGAGAGGACCTAGGGTCAGTTCCCAGCACTCCTATGCTGGCTCTCCACAATTTCTTAACTACAGTTCCAGGGGCCTTCTTCTGGCCTCAGGCACTTCTGTGATGCACACATACATACATGCAGACAAAACGCTCCTCATACGCACACTTTTAATCCCAACACTAGGGAGGCAGAGGCAGACAGATCTCTGAATTTGAGGCCAGCCTGTTCTACAGAGTAAGTTTCAGGACAGTCAGGGCTACGCAGAGAAACCCTATCTCAAAAAGACAAAACAAAAAAGATGGAGTTATGGGGGGAAGGGGACTGGAGAGATGGCTCAGAGGGTAAGAGCACTGGCTGTTCTTCCAGAGGTCCCGAGTCCAATTCCCAGCACCCACATGGTGGCTCACAACCATCTGTAATGAGATCTGATGCCTTCCTTGCCAGCAGTACATTGTATGCTTAATAAATAAATAAATCTTGAAAGAAAGAAAGAAAGAAAGAAAGAAAGAAAGAAAAAGATGGAGCTATGGGACGCCTCAACGATTGTTTTGTCAGATACACATATAAAACCAACTAAATCAGTTTGTCAGAGGTATCTGTACTGCCTTGATCACTCTAGCAGTGCTCACAGCAGTAAGAAAGTGGGGCTGGAGCGATGGGAACAAAAACCACCTCTAACTCCAGTTCCTGGGGATGCCCTCTTCTGGCCTCCCGTATAATTACCCACAAACATAATTAGAAATAAGAATAAGTAAATATTTTTTAAAAGAATTTTTTAGTCAGGCATAGTGGCACAAACCTTTAATTCTGGGAGTCTGAAGCAGGAGGACTGGCAAGAATTTGAGGCTAGCCTGGGACGTGTATGGAGTGCTGTCTAAACTACGCAGCAAAACCTGGTCTCAAGTAGACTGAGACAAGACTTGCACATTTGCATGTGTGGGACAACTGGACTTGTCAGAAGACAAGTGGTTTGTCCTTGCATTCCTGATGGCTGCAGCTGTAAAGCCAGGTTTATAGTCATCTCCCATGATCCTCAGTTATCACTGCCCCACCCCCAGTGAGGGACAATGTGGGAGTCAGGGGTAGCTGCCCAGGACATGTGTCCTGTAAGCAGCTATGCCTGTCCTTGGAGAGTTGTATCCCACAGTCCTTGAAGCCCTGTGAGAATTACGTTCTGCACACACACTCAACTCCAAATGGATGTAGCAGTCCCTTCCTCTGCAAGGCCCCAGGATCACAGGGCAGAGAAGGCAGCCGGAGGCTCTGCACCTTCGCCATCGCTTTATTTGTTCTGTTTGCTCATGAGTGTGACTAGACTCAGGGAGTCATGGTGACAACACAACCCTAGCACCTGGGGTACAGGTCTCCAAGTTGGACTCTCTGACTTGATACCCCTCAAGGGGCCAATCTGATGACCTCCCTCCATGGACATACCATTCATCTTACGAGTCCTGCTTAAATGAAGGCTCCAAAGAAAATGTCTCAGTACTGACTCCAGATCTACCACTTTGCAGCCATCTTAGTGTTGTGACAGCCTTCACTTCTGCTGCTTCAAGTTGGGTGGGGCCACAGGGTCTCATGGGGCTTCTGCCTACCCCACAGAGGGTAGAGAAAGAGTACAAGATGCCTCTCCTGGTCTACGGTGAGACTGAGCACGAGGGAGACCATGGGTCAGGGCCTTCGCTGACCAGGTAGAAGGACAGGGCAGGACCCTTGCTCTAGAGGATGCTCTAGGCTCACTGGTCAGCTCACAGCCCTGGAGAACTGTCAGGAGCCAATATGTGCACACACCTACCTGCACACAAACATGTACACTCAGGTGCCCCTGGTGGAGTGGGGATGGGCCCCCTCCTCTGAAGCAGGGAGCATAAGGATGGGAGAAATGGGACAGCCCAATGGCACAAGGCCAGTGGAGACGGAGAGGATCATGAGGCGGCTGAGGCCCCCTCCTTCTCAGCAGGCACACTGTCACTGGTGGTCCCCTCTTCCTCTGCAGTCCCAGTCCCTAGCAGGTCATCATCTGGCCCTGGGTGCCCATCCCCATTGTTGACGGCTCTGCCCTGGTGACTCTGCTGCTTCTGTCGCCGGGTCTCCTTGTACCTCATGGTGATGTCCCTGTGGGGCAGCAGAGCCACCTCACCACCTACCCGTGCAGCAGCCCCCAGCATATACCCACAGACACCTGGACACCTTTGCTCTGCAAGAGGCTCCATCTGCTACACTTGTAGGAATGGCTGGGTATAGGGTTAGCTGGAGTGCTAGCTACAGGCAAGGCAGAGTCACAGCGACTCAGAGAGGACAGGGGCAAAGGCAGGTAGAGCCACAAGACAAGGGTGGGGAATGGATGGAGTCAACCAAAGGGGGACAGACATCATTCACAGTAAAACCTAATGGCTTGGGGTCCCATCCCCACTCACCGCAGGAAGAAGCGCCAGACAGTCCACGTAAGCACCAGGATGGAGCCAAGAGTCCAGCACTGGGAGATGTAGAAGGGCAGTGACAGGGTGAGTGTGTGCGGATCATACTTCACCACGATGAGCAGCTCTGTGACTGTGATGGCTGCCACCAGCCA